CTATGCATAATACGAAGCATTACGAAGGATATCAGAAATAATGACTTGTTCATGGACGTCAATGAGCCTCATTAACTGTTCGTGAACAGACCATTGCTCGTGAACAGCTGACGAATGGAGGAATTCGTAAACTATCAAGCAAGCAAACAAATAAACAAACAAACGTTGTTCACGAACTGCTACAAACAAATAAAAAAGCGAACCCTGGAGGAATCCAGTTGCCTCGCACATTTCCAGAACGATGTGGTAACTTGCATTTACACCGTAAGCTTTAACCCTCGCCGGACCTACTGGTTTTCTACATAGGCGCCGGCCGAGGGGGGGGGGCGGGTACGACCCACCCCTCGCCGTTTCGCCCCAGGTGGAGCTAGCGCGTCGCGGAAAAGACGAGCGTGTGCGCCATTAAGAGACGCAGAGATTGGTACCCGATTTTAAGGTCCTAGGTCAACTGGTGACCTCTGAGGTCAGGTCAAGTGCCCCAAGGCACAGTTCAGTTTGTGGTGAATAACTTCGCAAAAAACGGCCGTAGAGCGCCAATTTTGGCAGCATCGTGTTCGTCTCGCTCAGGCGCGTCGAATGATATACTTTTTGTTTGGGTCAGGTCAACTTAGGGTGTTGACCACAAGTCACGGTCAGGTCAGCGCCCCCAGGTCACGAAGTTGGTCGAAAGAGGTCATGTCGCATATCATTCGATTCGGCAGGTCTTCCTAAGGTCATTGGTGGCTTTCTTGACTCGCTAACTCAATTTGATCGGGAGTTATTGACGAAAAACTAATATGACCTTGATGTCAAGGTCAACATTGCAAAAGTGACGCATCTAACCTTGCAAGGAGTGCATCAAATCACGATTCTGTGTGCTTGAGATAGTTGAAGATCGTTCCCGGCGCCAGAATAGCAGTTTTCATTTTTCCCATTGACTTATAGGTAATGGTGAGGTCGCGAAAATGACCTGACTTCATATGACCTTTAGGAAAATCCGAGATATACAAGTTGTGAGACTCTTAATGGATACTAGATTCTGCAACTTTCATTTCCCTGTGAAAGCTCCTCTGGCAGTGAGGGCGTTGCGAAGTTGCGACATCTGAAGACCGTGCAGAGGTTCACTTATGACGTCATAGGTCATTGACCTGACCTGACCCGAAAATGCGATTGGTGTCAAAAGATGCGGCTTGAATCAAAGGTCAGGTATGCTAGGTTTCAGCTTTGTATCGCTAGCGTGTTCGGAGCTAGAGCGAAAAAAACCTATGGGGGGGCAGCACCCGCCGCCCCCCCCCCCCTCGGCCGGCGATGGTTAACACACAGCACCTCGACTTTGCTATTTTCGATAGAACCTTCGCCAAGTGGCCACAGCAGGTCATGGTCTAGCATGAACTCAACTGTATATTGTCATATCTTGTAGCGTGGGGCAATAGTCCCACGCTACAAGATATGAGTGATTGCCCCACGCTACAAACTATGAGTCACACACCATACAATGTTTAGTTTCACTCCCACCCTTCCACCTCCACATCATGTTACCCTGTCCTCCGAGAGGCCCGGAATCCCCTCATCGAGTGGGGAATGCACAGCTGCCCGGAAGATGAGGTGGGGGCCATCTGGATAATATCACTGCGGACACGAGGACAAATGAGTGTTTGGCTTCCGGCCGTGATGTGGTGACTTGTGCCATATCTTGTATACTAGGATGCGGTTGCCTCCTGTGGGTGGGAAGTGGATCGGTGGAATGCGGTTGAATGGGAGACGATGTGATCAGGCCGGGCCGGTGCCGAACAAAGTTGATACGATGCTGTGTGGAAGAATGGGGAGTCTGTTTTTGAAGCGCATATGTTGTTCAAGTTCAACAGTTTGCTGCCAACTATATCGATGTTTTCAGGATTTTGACGATTCTTTAGCGGCTTTTTGCTAATAATTTGATTGCGTAACAGAAGTTATCAAGAATCGTTTTATTTCGGTGAATGAACCCCGAGGCGAAAATTGGAGTAGGTGTCAACAAACCCAAGTGGCGTTTGTTACAAGGAAAGTTTTCTGCATTTCGCACCGTCAATTTGAACTTTAAAAAAGGAGCGGTATTAAATATTCTCATTTTAAACATAACATTTAATCAGGGGCGCGGGAACTATTTTCAGACTGTGGGGGCACACCATGATAGAGATCAACCTAGGGTACCCCCAAATTTAGTTTTCTCGCCGGTTTTAGGCCACTTATTTTTCATCCCTTGGCTTTTTCAACAAAAAAGAAAACATTTCCAAAAAAAGTGCGGTATTCCGTCTTAAAATTGTGGGGGCCCCGCCCCCACGGCCCTAAAGTTAGGGGGGCAAGCTGCCCCCACTGCCCCCCGGTTCCCGCGCCCATGCATTTAATTTTACATATGTCATAACCCAGTAAGTATTCTATCGGCTATTGCATGTGTATACTGTAGTGTAACTGTATACACTATAAGTATACATACATATTGCATACATCTAAATAGCTACCCGCGGTCACTTTATTTTACACTGAGACTCATAATACATTTTGTCTCCTTACTGATGCGACCCGCGACTACTGGGGCGTTCCACGACAAATCGACAAGTGCCCTGCACCCTCATATTTTATTTTTTGCTTAAAATTGGTCTAATGGGTTGTGATGGGCGGGGAAGCCAGCTGTGACAAGCATTTTTTTCTTCGAACAACGGTTTCCGAGATATAGCCTCCGGCAATTCCTGGAGGTCGCGCTGCAGCCCTATGTTTGGCGGCCTATAACTCAAAAACTATTGGCTTTCTACGATAAAAACTTTATATGGTTCAACTCACAATCAGCCAACAAACATTTTGGCTATCTCGGATTTTCAATTTTTGAAAATTTTGATCACGTGACCTTTTGACCTATTTTTCGAAGAGTGACCTTGATATTTTCCCCACTGAAAGTTGCAATTTTGTCTGATGACGATTAAAGCCTTATCAATTGTCATTCATATGCGAAAATAAAAAAGTGGATATCGCCCTGCGTTGACCTCAGGTCAGGTCATTTTTATGACCTGTCCATTATTACGAGCGGGAGCGACAGCGAGATCTCGAGAATAAAGCAAGATAGCGACAAGCGGTAAACGGTGCAGGGTACACACGGATAAGGTCTATAATTTTTGCTAAGGTCATTTTCAGGTCAGGTCAAAGATGACGTCACAGGAGCAAAAAGGAAGTCAAAATTGCGGCACTACATATATATGAAGTTTTTCTCGAATAACTTTCAAAGTATCCCAGCTAGGAACAAACTAATAGCACCATCGTGATCCTCTCGTCGATCCGCATCGAAACATATGTATGTTGACCTCGAAAGGTCGAAAAGTCAAAAGTTGACCTTAGGTCACGTGACCTAAGGTCAACTTTTGACATTTCGACCTTTCGAGGTCAACATACATATATTTCGATGCGTATCGACGAGAGGATCACGATGGTGCTATTAGTTTGTTCCTAGCTGGGATACCTTGAAAGTTATTCGAGAAAAACTTCATATATATGCAGTGCCGCAATTTTGACTTCCTTTTTGCTCCTGTGACGTCATCTTTGACCTGACCTGAAAATGACCTCAGTAAAAATTATAGACCTTATCCGTGTGTACCCTGCACCGTTTACCGCTTGTCGCTATCTTGCTTTATTCTCGAGATCTCGCTGTCGCTCTCGCTCGTCACGTGACCTAAGGTCAACTTTTGACCTTTCGACCTTTCGAGGTCAACATACATATGTTTCGATGCGGATCGACGAGAGGATAACGATGGTGCTATTGGTTTGTTCCTAGCTGGGATACCTTTAAAGTTATTCGAGAAAAACTTTATATATATGTAGTGCCGCAATTTTGACTTCCTTTTTGTTCCTGTGACGTCATCTTTGACCTGACCTGAAAATGACCTGAGTAAAAATTATAGACCTTATCCGTTTGTAACCTGCAACGTTTACCGCTTGTCGCTATCTTGCTTTATTCTCGAGATCTCGCTGTCACTCCCGCTCGTAATAATGGACAGGTCATAAAAATGACCTGACCTGAGGTCAACGCAGGGCGATATCCACTTTTTTAATTGTCGCATATGAATGACAATTGATAAGGCTTTAATCGTCATCAGACAAAATTGCAACTTTCAGTGGGGAAAATATCAAGGTCACTCTTCGAAAAATAGGTCAAAAGGTCACGTGATCAAAATTTTCAAAAATTGGAAATCCGAGATAGCCAAAATGTTTGTTGGCTGATTGTGAGTTGAACCATATCAAGTTTTTATCGTAGAAAACCAATAGTTTCTGAGTTATAGGCCGCCAAACATAGGGCTGCAGCGCGACCTCCAGGAAATGCCCGAGGCTATATCTCGGAAACCGTTGTTCGGAGAAGAAAATCCTTGCCACAGCTGGCTTCCCCGCCCATCACAACCCCTTACACCAGTTTTCAACGAAAAATAAAATATGAGGGTGCAAATTTAATTTTTTATTTGTCGATTTGTCGTGGAACGCCCCTACTGTCAAGTAGGTATGTGAATCTATCAAAGTTTTTTAGTTTCGCTATAGGTTCCTTCGATCTATGACTTTTATAGCCGTAAATGAAAGTGTGAGGGGGAGTCATTTAGCCAATTGGACCACCAGCTTATGCACCGAAACAGGACGTCATCCCATTGGGACTAGTGCCCTATGATGGCACTGCCCTGAGGTCTGAGGGCGCTTTTAGCTATCTTGTGAATAGCTCTCATTTCATATGGACTAGAAGTGTGGTTAAGCCGGTTAAGTTTTTTTTTTAATAATTGATAATTAAAAGCATTCGACATTCAGGTGCATGTATTATAGTGCATATATCAGAGTACCTACATATTTTATTTTGTAGGAAGTCGTGGCCACCGCCCACCAACCGTTCGCTCCTTTTTACCAATGGCGTCGAGCTGAGGTCCAGCCTTGCAGTGCCCCCTGCGAGCTCGCACCCCTCGATACGAGCTCCCAGATGTCGCGTCGCTCGTTCGATTTGCCACCTCCGCGGCCGGTCCTGCACTCCGCTGTTCCGCGAGGTGACGCTACTGTCCGTGCACGGCGAACCGTGCCGTGGGGACCGGGAGGTAGCAGCAGTGCGGTGCGGTTCGGTGGGGGTGCAGGTGGTCGTCAGAGGTGCCCGTCTTTCCGCGGTCACGACGCGAAATGTGAACCGGACTTCAGGACTTCCACCTCAAATCCGAAATGTGAGTGGACAACTGTTTCGTTTTGAGCCCCCTTGCGTATATTGTTTTAGTGTAAAAAATTTTATGAATGATCATGGGTCACTCTAGCTATTTTGAGATATTTGGACATTGCTTTTTCAACAAACGGCCAACGTTTTCTACTTGTGGTTATCACTTTATTCCTTTTACTCTTTGTCGTTTCTATGTACCTATTAGCGTACGATTAGTTTGTAAAAAGCTATTTTTAAGATTATTGATTAGATAAATTTTCATGATCATCAAGGCATTCTTGCATGTAAAATTGGTATAAGTTAGATAGGTTAGATACTTAGCAACAGGAACTAATAAAATCTTACAAATTAGTTGCATGCCATGCCTGTGGAAATTCCAGGCTGGTTGCATTTTTTTCATGTGCATCGCTTGCATGCACCCCGATGTAAAGCAAAAATTGTGTCAACCAAACGTCGCGGCGTGTGTTCGCCACAAAAATAAGCTTTGCAGTTCGATCAGGCGTCGCAGGACCGTTATCCCTGATTTCCTATAAAACATAAACAACAAGAAAATATAGGAGCTCATTAATAAATGTGCCACTGATGAAAGCATTGCATCGGTATTCGGTAAATCGGTACCATTCAGAATGACTAGGGCTCAGTTTATATAGAGCCCATTTGCTGCTACATGTTGGTGACACTTATTGAAAAGGGCGACCCGACAGATGGGTTCGTAAAGCCGCCCTTAGGCAGACACCTCACCAACGTTACCAGAAGTGTCCTTTTGAATAAGTGACACCTGGCAAAGTGACACTTGGCAACGGGCTTTTTACATGAACTGGGTCCAGATCATCTAGAGCCGACGGTAATGCTAGCAAAGCTCCCGACGCTCGCGTGTAAAAATGCCGGAACGCTCCTTCATGGGTGCGTGTTTTTCATCTCGGTTCGGGTGCATTCCGTTGCCTGAAATCTTTGCGGTGGCAGCATGCTCTCTCACCTGACACTACAAGTACAAATAGCCTTAGCCCGGGGTGCTTACCGCGCTAGTTTCCGGACCATTGCACCGTCCAAGCTTTAGTTAATCCCAGTCCCAGCCTTGAGACATACCGGTTTGGTGCTAGGCTGTATAGTTGGCAGGGGCACAATCTCTAGGTGTGAGCTTTTTGACACATCTGATCATTTCACTGATAAGGCTGTATATGGGTCGAATACTTGTCGAGCCACCGTTAGAGCTCCTACCAGGTGCTTGTTTCCATTCTGACTCATTTTCTGCTTAGTAAGCCTTTTTGTAAGCGACTGGGAAGTACGGCATACATGCATAGATAATCCATTTGTCAGTGTAACCACAGGGTGCTTTGGATATGGCAAGCACATGTGTTTTAGTAGGGTTACATTCTGGTAAAAGAAAGATATGTCATAGCATTGCGAGCATTTGTTCGGTATTACTCATGCTAGACATTGCAGTCCGTTATGTCAGTAGCAGAACGGGGCTTGTTATAAGCGAGCATTAAATGCTGAAGGGAAAACGGTATTTTTAAAATGAAACTAGCTAAATAAGACTAAGTGAAATTTACATCAGAAACATTGTTGCACACTACGAGACCATAATAAATCGTTTATATAAACAAAAACTATGATATCAAAGTGAGAAGCTCAAGACGCATTCGATAGGGCTTTATCGTCATTATTATAGCATTTTGATAAATAAATAAAATTTGTTGAAGCCACTTGTCTGTGCTAAGTTGTTTTGGACCGAGATTGAATGTTTATGATGTGTTCCTATCTTTGTTGACCGTTGTAAACCTGTAACTACCTGCATTTGTTTTAAATGACCTATGCTGACATGTGATGTCCTATATTGACCTGCGCTGACCAGCGCTGACCTATGACGGTACGCTAACCTGCGCTGACCCGCGTTGACCTATGACCAGGGGCGTCGCCACGGATTTTTGAGTGGGGGGGTCGGGTTTCTAGTCTTCACCCGATGGGTAGGGGTGTTTTTTTTTTCCACACTGCCCAGTTTTGTGCGTGCGTATGACTGTGTGTGTGCGTGTGTAACAAATCGGCGCGCAGCGCCTCCAAATTTGGTATAACCTATTAGTTAGGTATACCTACCTACATCACTTGCGTAAAAATTATCACTGGTCACTTAAGGTCAGGTCGCCATGTCAAGTTCAGTTATACGGTATACCTCTATAAAAACTTTCCCCTCTCGCCATTCTTGTAGCTTTTCTCCCATAACTTCGAAATTTGGTACACTGTATAGGTACCTAATGTATGGGGTTATACGTGTCAGCAATTCATTATTCTAACTGAGGATTTACATCTATGATCTGAAGGCAGGTCAAATACGTGACCTCATCATTAGAAAATAATGAAAAATTAGAAAAAGCACGAATGCCTCCTGCTTTGAAAAAAAGTTCGTCAGAAACGCAAAATATCTTTGGAGCCATGACAAATCAGCTCATCATTGCCAGGGACAGGGTGCAACTTATGGCGAGTGATGACTCGAAAGGTCATTAGTGGAAATGTCCATCGATGGCCACCAGCATTTTTTTCTACAACTTTTGACGAAGACGCGGTAGAGCGATGACAGCACCTGGAAGGTGTTCACTGTTCAGCTCAACAACACGGATCCATTCATATTCAGCAGGAGGTCCTTTTTCGATCAGGACATAACGTTGACCTAAGGTCGTTTTAACGTTAATTCTGAATGGTCAAATTTTAACTCATGTGACGCGTCTCAAAGAGATCAAGACGGTGGTGACAAGACAACATATGTACATACCATACAAATTCACGGAATCGAAAGTTATTGCAAAGCAGATGTTTCGGCAGAATCTGTCCAGTTAGCTGTTTGCCTTCTTATGGGCCAAACATAGACCTGAGATGAAATCTAACGCGAAGCTAGCGAAAGAGCGTTAAAAGAGCTATCGAATAGTTTTCTGCTTCAACGTAGCCCTTCTATTGGTGGTTTCCCAGTCGCTAACGTATAACGTATACTAAACTAACGCTGAGGCATGCTTTCGACCCCTGATCGATCTACAGGTTTGCGGAAAAAAGAGCATGCTGCTCGTGACGAGAGAAAGCCGATGATACCCATTTACAAGTTTTCGGGTCATCTCAGGACTCAGGTCATCGCCAATAAGTAGAGAAACTCGGGACCTGCTAGAACTTAACGAATGTAAGTTGTGATGGTTTTTCGAGGTTCTGATAACGAATGTTATCTTAGTTTTGAACGAAGATGATGACTCCATGCATTTGGGATCAGGTCAGGTCAGATCGACCAGTACCTAATAGTGGATGACCACCACCGATTGCTTCCTAGCATGTTATATGAATAAGCAACACAACTACTTCTTAAATGTTCAGATGGGCGCTAAGTTCAAAATCAGCTCCAAAAACTACCCTATCAATTAAAAGCACGTTATGAAAAAGTGAACTAAATTTATTTAAAGTAGGTGATTAACTCGAGCGCACCGGAAGTTTTGTTGCAATCGGCTCCTTTTTGCGCGACTTCTTTGCGAAAGCCCGAGACGGTTCCATCTGACTCCCTTTCCCCTACATGTGCACTGTACAGCTAGTTGTGACGGTAGCCATGGGGCTGAGGCTAGTTTGTAGTTTTGTAGTTAGGTACTGATCCGACGAATCGACTGCGACCATTTTTTTAAAACGATCAGACGAACGCTCGGGACAGTTTTGGCGCGTCCAATCCTTTGAGGGATAAAAAGGTACTAGGATGGGGGCTACTTAAAAACATTGTTGTGCTGGTGTTCCCCGCCCACAGCTAATTGACCTTTAGGTAATTGGCTAATTGGCTTTAGGGAGCTCTTGAAGTGATTTTGAATCTGATGTATTTGTTGGTGTTGCTGACGCCTGCTTCACTGACATAAAAGCTAAAAAAGCATACCCAGCATCGCAAAAAGTGGGGGGTCGACACCCCCAGTTTTCAAGAGTGGGGGGTCACGACCCCCCCGACCCCCCCGTCGGCGACGCCCCTGCCTATGACGGTACGCTGACCTGCACTGACCCCACTGCAGGCGGCTGCACGTGCTCAGTCCGCTGCTGATCTCGCTGGCCGTGCTGGTACTGGTTCCGAGGAGCGGGATGACCGTCACCGACTTCCAGTACCGGGTACCGGTGGGCTACTCGGTCGATATTTTCCACAGGTGAGCAGAAACAGTGCGGTTAGCGTATCTGTTATGTAGGGTAAGGGCGGGTAAGAGTACGCGGGCGATAAGAGTACGCATCAGCTGTTTCGGTTGCTTAGCAACGCGGGTTTGTCGAGTTCATGAAGTGACATGAAGCCGCCAGTGCGTGCTTGTCACCAACGGAACGTGGGCGTTGAGCGGCGACGCTGTTGAGTTTAAGGCGATGAATATTATTTTCGAGCGTTATGATATTATTATGGTATGGTACAATAAGTTTGATACTTGGCAGTTGAGATAAGGTACATTTTCGTGATTGGTGTGGGAAACTTGCGAGGTTATCTGGGGAAACACTGTGCAGTGCAATATTCTGTTTGCCAAGTTTTGCACAACGTTTCGGGGTTGTTTTGTGCGCGAATTGCATGTACGGTAAGAGGACGCACTGTTCAGGAGGGTAAGAGTACGCAGAATTATACATTAAATCGAATATACAGAAAAATAAAATTATTAATCTATCGCTCAATGACGTTTGTTTTGTAGGTATATCATCAATGGAGCACTGTGATGCAGATGCGTACCCGAAATTCTTCCAAATACGAGTTATTCTCCCTTTTGATTGTGCATTTTTTTTAAAGAAACACACGACATGATTATTTCCTGATTTATAGACTTGAAAGATTTATTTTATGCTTTTCTTTTTGGATACTAGAATTAAATTAAATGCCTTCTGAGTTCTGAGTTTGAAGTTAAGCATTTGGACAGTACAAGCTGCATAGGTGTGTGTTCATATGCTTGCGTACAGGGTGTAACGAAATTATCCGGACATCTTTCTTCGCGCTGTAATTAAGAAGCAAGACATTCTGATATTTTGCCTTTTGAATTATTATATAGACACCTTTCATAAGAGCGCAGGTACAAATTTTTGGAGCATTCCAGCCACTGGATTTTCCAGCACAGTGGGTTTCATATAGAGTAGCGCCTTACTAACCTGTGCCCACAGCTGGGCGGCGCTGGTGGCGGGTGTCCCCTCATTCATCTCCTGATGGACAATAGTCCATAAGATATCGATGGAATTGCATGGGAACTATTTCCAAACCATAGCCCTTTATCCCAGAAGAAAAAATAGGTCCTCTCGGCATCACTTCTCATTCTGCTAGGGACTTGAAGGTGGTGCGCCGCCCCGCATGAAGACTGCGCGGCTTGAATCAGGCATCGGTACACGTTCAGAAACCGAGCCTTCCTGTGCCGTCTGGTTGAGTGGCTCCAACCAATCGCTAGCCAGAATGTTGCGCCGGTAATACTCGTCACTGATAGTGGTTTTCTGTGTCGTCATGAACAGCTTGAATATTACACAGCAGCTGAACATGCTCCAGGTCTGGATTTTGGCCGGATGTTTGACGCCGGCGACGGCCGGCACCTTCGAGCTGCTGGCAGCCCACACATGGCCGATTTGACGACTCAACGGATATCGCAGCTCGAACAGCTTCCCATCCGACCAGGTCACCTCATTCATGTCTTCCTTCGACCAGTGGACACGCCCTGGCCCGAGGCCAAAGGTGGTGAACTGGTTGTTTTCCCATCAATTTCATTGTCTTTTCCAGTTTGAAGGGCAGTAAAACCAAGCTAAAGGGCGGGTAACGGTGAATCATGATGTGGGCCTCTTATTATCTGCCTTGGTAAGAATTCGAGTCAGTATGCGGATTAATTGGTGCCGTTTCCTTGTCGCTATCTTGACAACTCTCGTCACCACTTGGCAAAGGGCGCCTTTTGCGATCGAGGCCGGGCTGAGTCTGCCACCAAGTCGCAGCTTATTACGCCTCAGGCAGATGTGCTACTGGCTGCTGCTGATGTCCAGCTGCTGACAGACCAGCTTCTGGCTCATGCCACCATGCCACCAACACGTAGCCTTACTACGAAACGAGAGACTGTACTCCCTTCTCTCCACTGCCTTGAACGAAAACTATCATATGAAACCGTCGGCGACTCGACTCTTACTCAGAGCAAGAGTCATTTCGCAAGGTCAGGTCATTGCTGAGTTGAGAGCAGATACCAGAGGTATGCATTCATCCAATATTCCAGTTTCTGACATTAAAAAAGAAACTGTGCGAGCAGATATGGCGAAAAAATAGATGTCCGGATAATTTCGTTACACCCTGTACACCACCCGCCTGGCGTGCGTACTCTTACACACCCCATATGGTAAGAGTACGCAACTGCAGCGGTTCAGAAAATGTCAGTTTTAGACCACTTCCATTTACGCTGAAGGATCGTTGCCCCATGGGTTGATGACTAATTCAATGAGCTTTAATATTCACTATTTGCGATTTCTTTCTTTCAAATATTAAACAAGTGAGAGCAAGAAATCCACTAAGTGCGTACTCTTATACGACTTCACCCTACTTATGTCCATCTTCGATGGTGCAACCACAACGGGAAAATCATGCGATGTATGCCCAGTGATCTGCATGAGCCTTAAAACAAAAATAATTTGTGATTCACGAGATAATGGGCGAAAATCGGAAACTTTTATGAATTTACATGCCATTTCAAAAGAATAGCAACAGCTTAAAGTCATATTAAAGTCAATTTGTCGAATTTCTTTTTAATCGGTCCCACCCACCAGGCTCCCCCTCACTTTTCCCATGGGCCGCTAATGTTCCGGTCACGATTTCTGCAGATTTGAACAGTCTGCATCAGTGCCTGTAACATGACTAAGGTTTGCATTTATGTTTGGGCTGCTCCCTGAGACAAAGTTTCTTAACGTCAATGGGCTTCGGTCAGTGTTGCAATGAAAACCACCGGAGCTGGATGAAACAGCCGTTTGCCCGCCGCTGCAAACGAGACTCCAACTTGTGAAATGCAGCAAAATCGACCACCACTTTAATAAAAAAGTTCAATAGAAGCTTATATTACCGTGCATTTATAGTTATGTATACATATTTATAGGTAATATAATATCTGATTTTAATTAATTAAGATGTCTCAAACTAATTTATCTCGAGTCATATTTAGTATGGCTCTAATCAGCTAAAACATAGACTAGAGTACTCCATATCAGTAATATGCAGTAATCAGTGATTCAGTAGTGAAATGTAAAATAAAGTGATCTCCCTACCCCTAACCCGTGATTGTGAATGCGGCCACAGAAGTAGAACCGCCCAGTTGACTCGATATTAGAGCAACGGACTCCTACCGGAAACGGTCAGCGATGTACTCGCTCAGCTGTTAGTCAGCGTGGCTTCGTTCAGAGCAGCTAACTAGGCGCCACGCACAGGTGGCATTCCCGAGTTTAGAGGGTATTCATGGAGTGAAGCGTTGGTTTGGGAGTCTGGTGCTTCATGGGCAAAAATTATTTTTGATTTGAAATTCCAAGCTCATCGTGAACATTATCAAAAACGTTGCAAGTGCACAAACATTTATGAATGAGTTATGAATTGCGATGACCGTCCTAATGCATAATTTCAATGCCCATAATGTCTATCATTTGCATTTGTCAAATGCATTTAAATCCGTTTCAAACGGTGCGGTAAATCTCACACCGGGCTAACTCTGTTCTCCATATGAAACGCATGCATATTTGGAAAATTGCCTCTTATACCTCGGGAGACGCCATTTATGTCCCTCACCGAACAAGTGGTGTACCCAGTCTCTGGCAATCAGACGGTACTTACACACCCGAAAACGACCCACAGTTGTCTGTCCGGTCAGTCGCGACCTAAATTCAACCGTTATCAGGCCCGTAACTGATAACAACAATCACAAACAGCCGGGATGGATTGGCTTTCAATGGTGCCATTGAAATGCCGGTACAGCAGCATTACCTACCACGTTGGAATTTTCATAGAAGCTTTTATTTCTAAGTTCTTACAACACAAACTGGCATCAAGTGATTGGTAATATTTTGCATGCCACGAATACTGAAATAAAACTCGCATGCTGTCAAAGGGTTTTTACCGTTTCTCATTTTCATCCACTAGTGTCGTGAACTTCAAAGACAAAAGAAAAGCTTACAGCTGGTTGTCTGGTGTCTTGACATAAAATTTGGCAGCATGAATGAACGAAAGCACAAAAGAACCTCAGCAACAGCAATAGCAACACGTGTAACAGTAGGAGCATCATCTGAACATTGACACGAAACTTGCCATCGGCGCTACTGACTCTTAACCTTCCTTATAAAGACAGATAAGCTCCAATCAGGTTTGACTGAATGAATCGAGATGCAAACAAGTCCAACTGATACCGGCGGCATTATTCTGGTGATTTCGTTGCCTTAGACCTATCCAAGCGGATTAGCACCATCATACTGCTAAACAGATAAGACCCAAGGTCAAATCAAGGACTGACTTCCTCTCCTGTGAGATCTGTTCAGTGACACCGCCCCTCCCAGATTACAAACGAGTCTCTCGCTTTCACGGAAATGCGACTTACTCGTAACCTGCTTCGTTTAGAAGCTTATAACATTCCGGCTTTTCATTACACATTTATGCATTTGATTTTTTTTTAAATCAATGTTATCAACGCAGCCGACGTGGTTTCCTTTGTTTGTTTGTTTGTTAATTGGGGCTGTGGTTTCCATCTTATAAATCGTTTTTATCAATTGTACGCAGCCCAAGAAAAAAGTAAAACGATCGTTACATTCTATGAAAAGCTCTTTATCGCTTGGAACTATCTCAAGGTGGATAAAAAATGCAACAGGTGAATTGAGCAGATATAAACCGATAATTACCCAATGACCCAATAGCCAACGCGCATGAGACTGAAAAATGGACATGAGGCTTCACGAGAAGTCATATAACTGTGCAATGAAATTTCCTTAACTTTATTCTCCGAAATGTCAGCAACGCACAAACAAAGAGCTATGAATGGTTGGAATATATACATAAATAAATGCACTCCCTACAAAGCGCATACTAACCTTCGTGCATGACTGCATCAAATCGGGGCAATAGACTCGAAGGTGTATGAGGCACTGGGATAGAAACAACGTCGTACAGTGCATGCGCACTGAACTGCTATACAAAGGCGGTCTCCCAGATCGTGCCATGGCACCTACCTAGGTCTGCTATAGAACGGTTAGGTCAATATATTTCTGCTGAACTGAGCTCAAAATCGCCCTCGCCGAGCAGGATGTTTTGCAGCAGAACGATCGAGGCAGCCTGTTTAGTCCAGACTGATGGCAGCTTTGGGTACTTGCACATTGACGACGCATTGAGCGAAGCCCGCTTGGTTTCGTTCTCCGTGCCAGCCGTAGTGCTTGGGAAGCATGGAAGTCGGCGGCTGAGTGTGGTCATGGGGTTCTCGTCAGATTTATGGAGGGGTTCTCGTCCGATTAAATTGCACCGTGAAAACTCGATGCAGAGCTGGCGTTCGGTTGAACAGAGCATTTTTCGTCGCAACGGCAATCGCTGAGATCAGAAGCCCATTCAGCATTTGCCGTTGGGGACGCCATTGACTTAACCATATGAACAGGAAATTCGTGTCCATAAGCGTTAAGTTGAACAAAAGTAAGCTAAACCAGGACCTTGTCTTCAACAAAGAAAACCGTGTCTCGATTTGCAATTAAGCACAACCAACCGCGTGCCTGTGACCTTACGCTGGTCATTTGTAGCTGTTAGCGCGCCGCCTAAACCCCACCTGACCTGACCTGACCTGACCTTTCTGTCGGCAGGTACGGGCAGATGGCGCTCCTGTTCAAAATCCTGCCGCAGGAGCAGGACCTCGTCACCGAACAGAATTTCGGTCATCACCTGTACCTGGGAAAGGCCAGTCAAATATTCTCCCCGCGCTCCTACTACACGGAGACCACGCCGCACAACGGCACGTTCCGGCTCCGACCGCGGTTCGACTTCTGTCGCGGATCCTACGAGCTCCTGCAGGCGCTCTTCGCGGACTTCCACATCGACGGCACCGACAAGCCGCACAAAGCACTCATCTCGGCCACGCCGCCAAAATGGATCGCCGAGAGGCTTGGCATCGAGCCCACCTACTTCAACAGCTCCTTCTACTATGTCTTGGTGAGGTTGGAGCGACCGGTGCGCCGCGTGCGACTGGCGGGAGACCCGCGCGTCAACCGCAGGTTCAAACGCAGCGCAGCGGCTGCTCCCGATCCCGAGGCCGCCAACGACAAACTCATCAGCACGTTCGGGACGCACTACTTCTCCAATTTCGCCACCGGGGATTTCGTGTACCAGGTGTACGCGTACAATCCTCAGACGTCACCAAAGCTAGAGGAGCTCTTCGAGAGGTCTGAGGCTGAGCCTCACCTTCTGAACGGGTCCAGTCGTCTCTTCAGTCCCTGGTACGCCTCACACATCGGGCGGGTGACATTGGCGAGTGCGCCGTTCAAGTTCCGGCAGATGATCGCGCCTCAGTTGGGTAAGCAGGTGTGGTTCAGATACTACCAGAGCCTGTTCTTGCTCCTGGAGAGCGAACACCTGCTCCGAGAGACCGAGAGGTACTCTGGCGTCATGGTGACCGGTATGAGGCTGAATGGTCTTCAGCACGTTATCGGCAACAGCACGCTCAGACAGAGGTTCGAGGAGGTGGTCAGCAACATGTTCTTGCTCTGGGAGCACAACTTGTAGCCTCGTCGATGTCCTCCACGAAAACGCTCTTGTGCTGGTCACAGTTGAGCGGACCTGGCCCCCAGAATACCCAGCGCCCGATGTCTAGACCAGACATCACTTCTGCTCATTCCCCAAGTTTCTTGACGTCCTCAGGACGCGCCATCGGTCCAGACCGAGAGTAACGTCAGTTCCGGCGATCCCACTGACATGTACCGGAGACCAGCGCAGCGTTCTGTGGGAGATGCAGACGCAGTCTTCTCGCGCGTCATCGACCTTGCTGCATCACTTCCGGCGTAACCAGCCCGGTCCAGTGCCGACGGAGCTGACCCGACAGACTCAAGTTGCCTGACCGCGCCACTGCTACTCAGCAATGGCCAGAATCCTGGCGACTGAGGAGGGACACAACTGAGCTGTGCTGGGTGGGTGAACACGATACCTACCGCAGTCGCCTGACAACCGGTGTTGACATCAGGGGCGGAAGACAAAAACAGGACCTATGTGGGATGCTCTAGTGAGAGACAGAGAAATCGAGCTTATCTTGCCTTGTCGGTGAGGACACTGTATCAGAGTGCTATCCGCCTAGCGGCTCATCGTAAAACGTGCGTCGATGTAGTGCGATGACATCCAACCAACTGCGCAAAGGCAGTTGAATCCAACTGCGCATAGTCAGTTGAACACGTTCTTATGTATTTTACCATATTTGGTCGACTGTCATGTGCCTGTGAATATGTTGTAAGTTGACTGCTGCCAAGCTCAAAAAGCCATATGACGATATAGTATATTGCCTATGTCTGTGTGCGTGCCGATACCTTTTGCGTTTCAAGAATTGATTTGCTCACGTTTTTCTCCATTTTTTTATGAGACTGAAAGGTGTACGAAAACAAAGCATGGTTTCGATGTAAATCAGTCACTTTCAACTAATCTGAAATTTGCGCAATTATATAGAGATATGATGATCTCCTTGTATTGCCAACAGGTGCACAAAGAAGAACACTATTCTAGTGTTCTTCTATTCTAGTGTTCTACACCTCCCATATGCGTCGCTGTCAAGTAGCTTCCCTCCCGTGAGATCACTGCGTCATATTTCTCTAAAGACGGCCGGAGATAGAGGAAGGCAAACTGACGAACTCAGCGACTTATAACGCAGATAATATCGAGATTATATTGAGTAAGCCTTTCTGCCTCTTTCCATGCGGCCATGCAGCACACAGATTCAACTGGTCGCCATTCGTTGGATGTGTACCCACTCGTATCATTTGTGATGGTTACCCCAAGCAATATTTACAAGTGCATTTTGTAGGCATTACTTGTTGCTACATGCTTGCCAATAAATTAAAGCTACCTCTAGAGAGGCATCATGTGATCCGTGCGGTGCGCGCGCATTGTGCCAATAATGCATTTTAGGCAGCCTTTCGGACTGGAACGAGGTGTGATTTCTATTGTTTGTTAGATGACGAATAAGTATGTATCTCTGTATTGTGATATGTTTTGTTTCGTGTAAATATAGATAGAAATCAAGTACGGGGTGTGCTAAATGATCCTCGGGGACTAGTAACTCCGCACCTCGCTGGAACTCCTGGATTTCCACGCCCTGCTAGGGAGGTTGGTAAGCGGCGTTCAAAAGGTCGTCAAACAAAATCAAATTAATCTTGACATATTTTGAGTCAGGTTACAGGTCGGGTCATGAAAAGTCATCAATAACTAATTTCCCGATTTCAATATTTTTAAACAAACTGATTCATACCTTATAAACCAATGAAAAGCTATAACGTTGGAGAGCATTGAATCAGGTAGTTATAATTGCTAAAACGTTCTACGATTCTACCTTGGCTCAACGGCGCGGTTTCGCCTCGAAAAGGCAAAACCGTCAAAATCGACTTTTTGCATGAGCAGTTTTGATACAATAGGTACCTTATGACACAATGCATGTAGGTAGGTAGTAGGCAAGGTAGTAGGCACCTTTATTTAACCACCATCATGTGCCTCTCGTCTAGACGTACCATATGTGAGGGACAGAGGTGGGCGTATAGACAAAATTTTGGTCCACTACTCAGCTAATCCGCTATTTGGATTTTGGGACTATACCTACTATTTTTTTATACCTACCTTAGTCCTTGGCCCTTGCACTTGGTTACGAAGCAGCGGTAGCGGGACCTAAGTCTGAATGAACAGGAGAAGTAGTGAGTAGTACACTCAGAAATGAATTAACTCCGCCACTCCGCAGCAGACAGCAGGACAACCGAGCGCTCGCCACCAACACATCGAACGTGAGCCGCCGCACGGAGGCATCAAGTTAGATGGGACTTGGGAGACACTGTCGCACTCGCAGTGCGCATACTTGAATGTATTACGCTCTTCATAGAAATTCACTCAGAAAACGGTGGTTCTTATTATCATGAACTATATTATAAATCCTAAAAAGTACCCCGCCGTGTGCGACGTACGCACTTTGCAGCGCTTATTGCGGCGGCGTCCGTTGACCTAGGGCCGTGAAATTTTACAGCGATGTGGGCCACCTTTACACGTAGGTCGTATTAAATTTTGGACATGATGCGGCCGGGGGTGCGCCCGCGGCGCGTGCTAGCGTGCCCATAGGGTTAACATTAGTATTGGCAAAAACACGCTATTGCTCGGGAACGGTGAGGGCTACGGGGGTGAAATTTTCACTGCAAGTCTGATGCGTGCACTCATTTGTCGTATTGAATTTTCGAGGGGGTTGGTTCAGCGGTGTGCACGTGGTGGGGCCGCGACCGGCGCCGAGCAGAGGGCACGTGCTTTAGGCTCAGTTGATCGCTTAAAAAACTGAGTGGAAACCACGGACGTATAAATAAACTGGACTGACAATCCCAATGGACCTCCTATGGAAGATAGTGAAGCCGACAAGGCGCCATTTTACGTTGCCAAAAAACCGTGCTCTGGAAGGTCATCAAGCCAATACAATTAGAATTACGTCCAAACGGATGATCGGATCGAGATGCTGGTGGTATCGTTCGACGGGTAATTCCTTGAGGCAGGTGATGATGGATGTCACATGTCACCCGGTGTCACATGGCGCGTGCCACGTGCCGACAAACTTACAAAGGGCAAAAACCTTTAAGCGACGCTTCAAATCAAACGAAGGGTGGCACAGGTGCCAAACTCACAGGTCACATGTCCCAGTGTTCGACCACTAACATATGGTACGCTCGGCATCAGAGGGTGCGGAATGCACGCGCTAGTGGCGAAAAACATGTTTTGAGGAGGCATCCTCCGATTCCGGAAAACCTTGACCTAGGCACACCAAATTTGGCACACTGACACTGCTGAACACGCGCTTTAAGGTGCTGTACAAATAGGCGTGCTGGGGTACACGGTGCACGTGCTGTGCACGTGCAAACCTTTTGATGTTGCACTCCAGATGTCACATATGCGGGTAGGGCGGGTAGCGCTGGCAAGCTCAAAGTGCCAAATTTACACAGGCCACCCAGAATGTATTCCAGCATATTTATTGAGCATATCCATCTCCTGGTGGCCCCCAAAGGTGCGCTCTGCACGTGCAAAATATTATCCGCGCCGGGCGGTGGGGATGATTGGATACTCTATGTGGATTTATGTAAATATCTCGAAAACGGCGTTGTGTAGCGCCGCCGTTTTCGGCACGCCTTTTCATACATCTTTTTTACAAATGCTGCATAACTTTCAGACCTAGGTCGCTCAAGGTTAGGTCACCAGGTTACGTCCAAGTGGCCTTACCTTAGGAAAAATTATAATGCCCGTCATAGCTACACAGACTATACAATCGGCTTAAAACGTGCAGCAATTGATAAGATCAACAGTATACCTATACGTAGAGTACCTACCTCTACCTAGAAATTTCAATATCACTGACCTAGGGTTCTGTTGATTTTGCGACCTCAGACCACCAGCACGGCAAATCATTTCTTTTGTCAAATTCGGGCTCCTAAACTTTTTGCTAACCAGCAACGCAAATTTACGCCTCAATCGCCGGCCAGCGCAGCATAGGCATCTTTGTTATCTAGATCTACATTGTTTGCGCCTGCAGTAATACTGTACCGCAATAACCATTATCTTCATCTTTCACCCATAGATGGCAGTAGCAAAGCGCCTGCATCTATGCTGTGCCGCAGTGCTCTTACAATACGAGCTGAGCAATGAGCATTGAGTAAGCAAGTGATATTGAAATCATAGGCGGCGGAACGAGGGGGAGGGGGCACCGGGGCACCGTGCCCCTCTTTGATTTTGGCATTTTAACATAGCCCTTTCCATGCAACGCCATAGGGCGTTGCCTGGAAAGAATGGGACCAAAAGTCGGCAGTGCCCCCCTTTAATTGAAGGTGTTCCGCCGCCACTGATTGAAATTCTGAGGTAGAGGTACTCTACGTATATACTGTTGCTCTTATCAATCGCTGCACGTTTTAAACCGATCGTTCAGTCTGTGTAGCTATGACGGGCATTATAATTTTTCCTAAGGTAAGGTCACTTGGGCGTAACCTGATGACCTAACCTTGAGTGACCTAAGTCTGAAAGTTAGGTACGCAGCATGTGTGAAAAAGATGTATGAAAAGGTGTGCCAAAAAAAAACGGCGGCGCTACACAACGCCGTTTTCGAGATATTTACATATATCCACATAGGGTGTCCAAGCATCCCCACCGCCCGGCGCAGATAATTTTTTGCACGTGCAGAGCGCACCTTTGGAGGCCACCAGGAGATGGATATGCTCAATAACTATGCTGGAATGCATTCTGGGTGGCCTGTGTAAATTTGGCACTTTGAGCTTGCCAGCGCTACCCGCCCTACCCGCATATGTGACACCTGGAGTGCAACATCAAAAGGTTTGCACGTGCACAGCACGTGCACCGTGTATCCCAGCACGCCTATTTGTACAGCACCTTAAAGGGACTATCAAACCTTTAACATGGGGTTTGAGTTGAGATAGCCAAGTTTGCGGCGAGGTTCAGAAACCACTATCTATCTAGGTTGCAACCCCCGCGGCCTCTTGGTGTTAAAGAAATTCGTTCCCTTCATTTGAAAATGGGCCTTGTACAAGGCCCTATCTTCAACATGGAGCGACCGTTAGTGTGACGTCACCTCGTTTAGTCATTCTGATTTAAATGGGTTTGTTCGTTGAAAAATCGCTTAAAACTTGGTCTGAACTTTGTTGTGGTGCCTACAGAGTAAAAAGAATCAGCTTTATGACAGTAATGTGGCCTGGGGAAGGAGGTAATTTTGGGCTGTGACGTCACATATTTGAAAGTTTGTGTTTGGAATATGGGAAGCCTAAGATTGTTAATGAAAAATAAATGCCAGAACCGTGTTCCTGGTCATCCAATCTATAAAGTCGGGCAAAATTTAACTGGTTTTAACAACATTTTAGAAGGTGGGATAGTCCCTTTAACCCTCGCCGGCCGAGGGGGGGGCGGGTGCCGCCCCCCACATAGGGTTTTTTCGCGATAGCTCCAAACACGCTGGCGATAGAGAGCTGAAACTTGGCATACCTGACCTTTGATCCAAGCCGGATCTTTTGACACCAACCGCATTTTTGGGTCAGGTCAGGTCACTGACCTATGACGTCATAAGTGAACCTCTGCACGGTCTTCAGATGTCGCAACTTCGCAACGCCCTCACTGCCAGAGGAGATGTCACAGGTAAATGAAACTTGCAGGATCTAGTATCCATTATGAGTCCCACAATTTGTATATCTCGGATTTTTCCTAAAGGTCATATGAGGTCAGGCCATTTTCGTGACCTCACCATTATAAGTCAATGGGGAAAAATTCAAACTGCTATTCTGGCGCCGGGAACGATCTCCAACTATCTCAAGCACACAGAATCGTGATTTGATGCACTCCTTGCAAGGTTAGATGCGTCACTTTTGCAATGTTGACCTTGCGTGACGTCATTTATGACGTCATCAAGGTCATATTAGTTTTTCGTCAATAACTCTTGATCAAATTGAGCTAGCGAGTCAAGAAAGCCACCAATGGACTCAGGAAGACCTGCCGAATCGAATGATATGCGACATGACCTCTTTCGACCAACTTCGTGACCTGGGGGTGCTGACCTGACCTTGACCTGAGGTCAACACCCCAAGTTGACCTGACCCGGACAAAAAGTATATCATTCGACCCGCCTGAGCGAGACGAACACGATGCTGCCAAAATTGGCGCTCTGCGGCCGTTTTTTGCGAAGTTATTCACTAAAAACTGAACCGTACCCTGGGGCACTTGACCTGACCTCAGAGGTCACCGGTTGACCTAGGACCTTAAAATCGGGTACCAATCTCTGCGTCTCGTAACGGCGCACACGCTCGTTTTTTCCGCGACGCGCTAGCTCCACCAGGGGCGAAACGGCGAGGGGGGTCGTACCCGCCCCCCCCCCCCCCCTCGGCCGGCGCGTATGTAGAAAACCAATAGGTCCGGCGAGGGTTAAAGCGCGTGTTCAGTAGTGTCAGTGTGCCAAATTTGGTGTGCCTAGGTCAAGGTTTTCCGGAATCGGAGGATGCCTCTTCAAAACATGTT